CCCGCCACCTTAGGTGTATGTGGCTGGCGCCTTAGCCGGTTGAGCTATAGGCGCTGAGCCACGTCCATACTTTTCATTTTCAAAATTTCTAGTTTTTCCCACAAATTGCGTTAATTTAAGCCAAGGTGACAACTTCCATCTTTTGTGCCTCTTATTTTCTTTAGGTATATCACCATTCCTTTACTCAAATATTGGTGCGTATAGACAGAACTTGTGTTTATTTTCTAGATAGACAAATCACCAACCCTTCTGGAGAGCAATATTGTTTCCAAATAAATCTCCACGCATGGGACCAGAGATGCTTATTTGACTGGCAGAAGCAGAAGTCTGATTGGCTGTTGTCAGTGACAGTTACACAAATTTGTGTTCTGGATTCAAAAAAATAACTATCAGATATTATTTTCACCTGTTACGTGTGCAAACATCAAGCTTTGCTTTTATCGTCACCAACTTCTACACAGAAGCCCAACACAATCTTCCTGCCAACTTTGCTGTACATCAGTCAGCCTGAAGCTTGTAATGTTCTAAGCTCCCTTTAGGGAAAATTCTACACCACTCATCAGACATTCCTTATTGGTTATTGTGAATGACTGTTAGCTAAAATACTTCAGTTTTCCTTTTGTGGGTTCAAAAGAAAAACTCCATTTTATTTTAATAAAAACTCAAAAGGATGGTGATTTTCTTTGAAAACCTGTTTCCTCCAAAGAAAAACAGGCATAGCAACAAAACAAAACAAAACACTAAACTATGCTACGAAGATTATAACATTCAGATCAACCGGATTCTTCATGTAAAATGGTTCAGCAAGGTGATCACTTTCAAAGAGCAAAGCAGGGATAAGAACAGAGCAGGAAGAAGGAACATGGTTTTTAATGTCAATATGTCAGGGGCGATAATCATAAATATTTATTGGTTTTCTTAGATCATAATTATTTAAATGGGAAAAAGTTGCATTATTCGTAGAACGTGAGTGCTGAAAAATATATTTCAAGATCACTTAGTCCAATCTTCCTCAACCACCCAAGGAAACTGAAGCCCAGAAGTTAAGCAACTTACCTGCCGGGAGAGTTAACCAGAATGAATTCTTTTGCCTCTGGTGTCCATGTAAATATTAGAACTTTATTGAGATAAAGGAGCATACTCTCTATAACCAGAGAGACATACCAAGAGAAACATACCTCTTGGTTTATCTTCTGGTTTGGGGGCAAAAATTTCTTTCACCTATTCACTGTCACCAGGAGTGAGAACAGGAAAGACAACACTATTCTAGTTTCCCATGTCAACGGCCATGCTGAATTTGGTGTTAAACCCACACGACAGAAGTAAGCAAAGCTTATAGGCTTAACGAGCATCGTTTTTTGCTGGTGTCAGTTAGGAACACAGGGGCAATCCAGAGCCCATTCGCTGCCTTTCCAGAGCCACAGGAGGAAAAGAAGGTTGGGGCAAAACACCTGACTTCAGGGTTATTTGAGGCTATTTAGAAATTTGGCATGTTCTTCTCCTCTTGGTAACAAAGTTTCTCCTCCTATCTTTGGACCAGTCTTTTCCTAGAAAATGAAAATATTTTGATAAGAAATAGTTCAGCATTACGTGCATAGGTCACTAACATTAGTCACAAGTTAGACATACCTTTAGCATTCCGTCTCGTTCCCATTTGTAGAGGCCACAATTACTGAAATAGAAAAGATGGATTTACTTGGTGGAGAGGTATGGGCCACACACAGACAGTGGTGGTCACTGGACTCGGGGGAACAGTGTCCCCCCATTCCAGAAGAAGCTGTTCTAAGTGATGTTCACGTTATAGGCCAACTCTGAGGTTATGCTCCGATGCTACTGAACATAAACACTCCATGGCTTGCAAAACGGCCTTCAACTCCTCACTAAACTAGAGGCCTCAGAGACGGAGTTTCAAATGATAGTTCCACAAGGCTACACAGGGCAGGTGATAACCGCACACTTATTTCACTGGCAGGCACTGGAATGAGGTTTAGTTTCAGGAAGCCAGGCTATGGCTCGCCTCTTCCTTGTTTCTATGGAAGCAAAAAGGTTGTAATAAGAAAAAAAGAATTGGCTTGGCACCTGTAGCACAGTGGTTACGGTGCCAGCCACATGCACCGAGGCAGGAGGGTTCAAGCCCAGCTCAGGCCAGCTAAACAAAGGCAACTGCAATCAAAAAATAGCCGGGCATTGTGGTGGGTACCTGTAGTCCCAGTTACTTGGAAGTCTGAGGCAAGAGAATTGCTTAAGCCCAAGAGTTTGAAATTGCTATGAGCTATGACTACACAGCACTCTACTAAGTGTGACACAGTGAGACTCTGTCTCAAAACAAACAAAAAACCCCCCAAAAAGCAGAAAGAAAGAATCTTCTTTGTGGTCTGGATCGTTTTTCTCTCTTTCTCTTCACAACACAAACACCTTACTCTCTTATTATTTGAAGGTCCTAGAAACTCTTATTCTCATTTATAACATGGTTAACTCCAACCCTGAGCAGTGATGTGGATACTATCGTGAAAGCTTATTTTCTATGAATAGTATACAAAGTTGGCTCGGCGCCTATAGCTCAACCAGCTAAGACGCCAGCCACTTACATCCAAGGTGGCAGGTTCGAATCCCTAGCCCAGACCTGCCAAAACAACAATGACGGCTGCAACCAAAAAATAGCCGGGCATTGTGGTGGGCGCCTGTGGTCCCAGCTACTTGGGAGGCTGAGGCAGGAGACTCGCTTGAGCCCAAGAGTTGGAGATTGCTGTGAGTGATGCCACGGCACTCTACCCAGGGGGACAGCTTAAGGCTCCGTCTCAAAAAAAAAAAAAAAAAAAAAATTCAGCAAACAACACAATAAAAAATAAAAATACAATTAAATACAAATCAAAAAACCCAAAAAGTATAATGACAATTTGCATGGCATTTGCGTCAGTAGTCTTGAGACGATTCAGAGGATGCAAGAGGAGGCACCAGGTTCTGGGCAAACACGTGGACTGTGCCATTTTATATCAGGGACTTGGTATCCTGGTAAAGACTGGGAGCCAATTCCCTGTGAGTACTAAGGCGAGTGTTCTCACATGGTAAAGATATTTTAAACCAATAAATGACTACTAGCAGAGGAGAAAAATATACTACCTGCTAGCCCCCTCCAAACACACCTATGTTCATCCCTCCACTCCTACTTCACTTATTTATTCAAGAAACATTTCTGGGGCCTTCTATGGGGCAGGCACTACATTAAGAGTTGGGGACACAGCAGTGCAGGGCAGGCTCCCTTCCTTCCAGGGATTTCGGTGCACAGTTCAAGTCTCAGGGACACCCAGGAGCTGTAACAGTGCCCCGCACGATCATCAGTGTCCCAAGTACATAGATGGCCCAGGAACAGGAAACAACCACACGGGAGAAGGCGCCACACGGTCTGTACCTACCTGCAGTGCTTGTTTGGGAGCCTGTCCAGGGAGATGCTCCTGTTCCCACAGGGACACTTGAAGAACCTTTTCACGCCGTCGTGCCAGTGGAGGTCGTGCTGTTCAGCGATGCAGGTCTCCAGAGGCTTGAAATGGGTGTAGTTGCACTGCACAGACCGACAGAGAACGTGCACAGCTGTGAGCAGCTTTATGGAGAAACCGGTCAGCTGCCTTCGGGGCAGCCTGCTCCCTCACCGCCTCGGCTCCCTTGTTACCACCCAGCCCAGGCCAGTTTTAGGGGACCAGACTACCTTTGGCCCCTGTGATCTCCTTACATTCTCTCGGACTAATACCACTTTTTCCCATGTTTGCCCCTTTGGGGGTAGCTGATTTAGGGCCGAACCCCAGACACACAGAAGAGTCTAGGGTCTGCAAAGGAATAAAGACAGAGGAAAGAGTGCTTGGTGAGGTACGCCCCTCCCCCTTCACCAGCAGGCTGATCCGCCACGCAGGGCTATTTGGAGTGAGTGGTAACAGGAGGAATAGTGTTCAGCAAGAACTTTCTTTTTTGCTGTCCTTTTAGTATTAATGTTGAGGAATAGAGTACTCAGATCCTTGTTTTTTTTTTTTTTTTTTTTTTGCAGTTTTTGGCTGAGGCTGGGTTTGAACCCGCCACCTCCAGCATATGGGGCCGGCGCCCTACTCCTTTGAGCCACAGGTGCCGCCCCAGATCCTTGTTTTTATTTTGAGACTGAATCTCTTTGTCATCCTTGGTAGAGTGCCGTGGTATCATAGCTCACAGCAACCTCAGATTCCTGGGCTCAAGAGATCCTTCTGCTTCAGCCTCCCACATAGCTGGGGCTATAGGTGCCCACCACAACACCTGGCTAGTTTTTCTATTTTTAGTAGAGACAAGGTCTCACTCTTGCTCAGGCTACTCTTGAACTCCTGAGCTCATGCAATCTGCCTGCCTCAGCCTCCCAGAGTGCTAGGATGATAGGCTTGAGCCACTGTGCTGGCCTGAGTACTTAGAATTGTCTAACAGACTTAGGGTAGAAATTCTGGAAATACAGATGATTATGTAATTCACACTCTGACTGGAGACTCAAGTTAGCAGGTCGAGCCACAAGTGACAGGAGGAGCTGCTAGTAACATGGGAGGCCAACTCAGGAAGTTCCCCCATGGTCCTGAGGACATGTCAGACCTTAGAGCAGTAAGAACCATGGGATCAGTGGACGAAGGGGAGGAGACAGCAGAGGCCTTTGGGAATAGGGTCTGGTCACACAGAGGACAATCTCCTTGACAAATGTTCCACTAGAGAGCTCGGTGCCTGGTCAGGGAGAAAGCCAATCCTTTCCAGCCCAATAAGATGCGGCCCCACACCCTGCAGGGTCTTGACGTGCTCCCGAGACACAGTGGTACCAAGCAGGGCCCATGGGCTCCAGCCCCCGCCTTCACGCACCATCTTGCACGTCACGACCCGACACTTCACTTCTCTGATGTTTCTCATCTTTTCTTCCATTTGTTCTTTTTTCACCAGTGGCTCAAAATAGCGTTCCTGCAGCTCGGCCTCGGCCTGGAATGACAAGGCGCACGGGGGACTTGTACTGAATCCGATATACATTCAGGCAGTTCAGTAAGAACCATCCAAATTCAAATGACTCTGTTCAATAATAATCAAAACAGAACTGAAGAGACAGGCTAAGTGTTAGAAGACGCTGGACAGGACCTTGAAGGGTGGCAACCCAAACTATGAGAAGTAGAAAAGAGACCTGAATATGCTGGAAAGGGGGGCACAAAAGTGCTTGATTTTTAAAACACTCAATGGAAATAAGCACCCCTAACATTATTAACAGTGTCACACTGTGTGCAGTGCATACGTGAGGCAGCTATTTCCACTGTTCCAGAACAGACTCCACGTACAGAGTACTCAGGGCCTCCTCAAGGAGCACCTGGCGGAGCTTCCTGGGTGCAGGGAATAACAGGGAGTGAGCACAAGGGCAGAGGACATTTACAGGGAACATGAGCACAGCCCTGGGGCCAGCAGAGGCTTAGCCTTTGGGCTGGTTGCTTTTGGCATCTGAGTTTCAAGACATGATATATAATTGTCTTGTTAGTCACTTGATATTCAAAAGAACAGATCATTTGGAGTAGTGGTGCTAAATGAAGACATTTTGGAAATCTGTGGGAACACTTTTCTTGTTATCTCAATGATTGCTACCTCCACTGTTAGCAGGGACCAGGGATGTTACGCTTTCTGCAATGCACGGGATAGTCCCCCACATAACAGAAGATTTTCCCTTTTCCCACATGGCAACTGCATGTTCTCTGGGACATCCGTGTGGATAAGAAACCTGGTTATAAGAACAGAACTACTTTCTATGAAACTCTATGAAACCTGTGCATAGTTTTAACATACATTGAATATTTCTTTTTTTTTTTTTTTT